TATATATATATATATATATATATATATATATATAAAACTATGCATAGAGGCACCAACGTGTAGGCAAAAAGGGAAAAAATACAGGAAAAGCGAAGAGAAATCCCTAGTGACACTCACACACTGCGACATGTGCTTGGATCAAACCCAGGAGGCAGATTCCCACTTAGAATAGGCTCTATCTGCAAAATAGAAGTGTAAATGAAAAGGAAAATAAAAATAGCCCCCATAAACAAATAAAACTAAAGCAATCCTAAGCCTATTACATGGCTATGATATCTCAGAAAATTCCATCGAAAACAAGCTAAGGTAGATCAGAAAGAAGTAAAACCAAGTCCTAACAACAATCTTCAAATGCTACCTCACAATTAAGTTTGCACAATAAGAAGAACCAAATTTGTATAGCAGGGATCTGTACAGAACTCTACTCACTAACCTACAACAAAGCGATTTCGAAATATAAACCCAGCCAAAGGAAGAAAAAAGTTTAAGATGAGTGGCAAGGCTAACTGAAACTGGTAAAGTGATAGATTCTTGAAGTATCGCTTGAACATCATAATCGAGCTCTTCGCTAATAACTTTCCCAAAAAAACCCTACTGAATCTCTAAGAAAAAGGCTTTAAAAACTTGATACAATATTCAGGAACAAATTCAAGAAGGGACAATCTCCAAAAAGAATCAAGAAAGAAATCCAAGCAACAGCTACTTAACGATGATAAGAAGATTGATTAAAGGTGTATAAGCCCAGAACTAGCCATTGCTAGGTTCAATCAACAACGACGAAAGCCATCGGAGCAATCACAAGAATAAAAAAAATTAAAATTTCAGACAAGTGTAAAAGAAATAGAGTTAAAGAAAACGACCACGAAATCCCTGACTTTTAAATTGCCGCATAAACTTACTAAGAAGCTGCAGAGGAGGAAACAACAAACAACATAAAAAACTTCAATTTCGTAACCCGACTATAAGAAACCCTAGTTTCGCGATCCAACACCAAAGAACCCTGACTTCCACCATAAAATACACATCACCCACAAGAAACAAACAGAAAATAAAACCTTGATCGAGGAACAGAAACTACGAACTACCACAAAAATGAGATTTTCAAGAGTCCGCGAACTATTCGACAAAGGGTAATCGCGGGAGGCGAGTGGGAGGAGACCTGAGGAGCAGCCAAGAGGCCAGGGTGCGGGTAGAGGGACTGCTGCTGCTGCTGCTGGAGTAGGAGGGCTTGCTGCATCAAAGCCTGCTGCTGCTTGAGCCTCAGCTGCTGCATCGTTATTCGCGCTAGGGTTCTCACGCACCACTCCGGCTCAGAGCGATCGAATCGGGAGAAAGGATTAGGGTCTACGAGGGAAACAAAAGAAGACAATAAGCGGTGAAAACCCTGGAAATCGAGTGGGGAACAGTGAAGAAGAACGAGCCGGGGAAGGGACCGAGGGCTCCAGAAGCGGGGAGAGAGTGTGACAGAGACTTGGGGAAGCGATCGGTTGTTCGTGACGTGTGTCGTGATTTAACATGTGGAAATCGAACTGAGCCCAATTACACTTTGGGTTGGGCTTCGAATCAATTGGTCACCGCGCCCACTTATTATATTATATAACGATAATTTAAATATTTTTTATTTAGATTTTAATTTCTAATTATATAACGATAATAAGGTTTAATCGTTCACGTACTCGATCTGATTATTTTATTTATTTATTTATTTATTTATTTTACATATAGATTCCCGGCAGCCTATTGACATGAAATCAAATTAATTACATTGCAATTTTAACAATAACATAAAAGATAGCCTATGATTATATATTGTGTCATTTCCTCGAAGGATTCATACGTCTGAAATTAATAACCACATGAAAAATGATTGGTTTTTATTTATAAGATAATTTCTACTTGAAATGTATATTTTAGGATGATTTTCTCAGTATCGGTATATCGGATGATATATCAGTTTATCATCCAGTGTCAATAAAAAAAATATTTGTTGATGTTTGAAACTTTGCTCTGATCTATGCTTGCTTCAATCAGATGTTCTACAGGTTAAGGTGCCAGTGAAGCTGATTGAATTTTGCAGCAAGGTTGATCCGATATGGTTTGATCAATATTTACCGTCCGATACTCCCATTTGAACATCGAAAAAAGGATCAAGGATTGGAAAGCTGATTGATCCGATACAGTTTGATCAATATTTAGCCTAATCAACAAACTGTTCTTTAAATCAGCTACACATACTAACTGAGAAATAAGAGATCGGCATAAACATTAAATTGTGAGAAACCTTCTACGCTTTCATCTACATGAATCAACAGATGAGTGTAGACAGGAAATGTTGCCTGTTCATCAGAATCATTTCAGTCATCATCATCAGTTAACAAACTTACATGTCAAACAGCACAGGTGGGAACCGAGTGGAATATGGAACTTCCAAGTCTTTGATGAATTACGATAGGAAAGAGCAGTATCACAGACACGAGTTTCAAACTTTATCAAGCACAAATAGATAAGGTAAAGGGAGAGAAAGGGGCTTTATGTCATCGTTCCGAAACGAACCGCGATAAAAGATGCGGATGAGATGATTTCAGCATACCAAAATGGTAATGAATATGACCGAGGAGGATGGGGCACGCTGTCAATCCAGATCAAGGAACTCCATTCTTTTTCTCATAGAGCCTTTCAGATCTGTGGCATCCCTTTCTGCTCTTTGAGCCTGTTAAAAGTATATAATGATGCAGTCATTAAATAAGACCTCAAACATACTGCTTCCAAAAAATCATATAAAAGGCTACGTGCTTTTCCAATATGTAACACTAGTATAAACTACTAGCCAAATATGTCCTGATTATCTTGACCATACTGGGTGGTCCCTAACTAATCGGCCCAAGAAATGTACTGCAGGAAACAGTCACAAGAAATGCTCTCTTGCGAGCTCCCCGTAGAAGGTACCAGGACTGTGCACGTGAAGTTTATCCAAATTGTCCGATAGAGCAGAAGCTGTAATAAGATATACCCATATCGAGCAAGTTCTGAGTGTGAAAAAACTGAGACAAATAAATGAGCTGTCCCTACAGTTTGCCATGATCACATTGCTTGCAAAAACCCAAAAAATCTACTCCTAATCAAGCAACTGAAGTGAAGACACTAAAGCACCAGAAGGTATAATGCAATATAGATCACATGATAGGTGAGATAGGGTGTCTCAAATGATTTTATGAAGAAATACCAGAATGAAAGCCGATGTTATGCTAAAACAGCCATAAAGAAGGAAAAAAAAAAACCAATCTGGCCTGATTAGACTCACATCTGAATTCTTAGTTCCCATTATGCAAACAGCAAAAACAATGCTATGGCATGCATAGACAACAAGACATGGGATAAACAAGAACATCAGAGACGAACAAGAATGACAGTCATAATTTTCATTCCTGCCTTCATTTTAATATGAATATTTAAATTACTACTAAGATTATCTAAAGAATAATGATGGACATGGAAAAAAAAACAAATACAGGGGAAAATAAAACGAAATGTTGTACTGGGCTCGACTTAAACAGTAATTTGACCCAACTTAGACTCTATCAGACTCAAACATTATTTAGACCCAGATGCATGCCTGCTTGACTATGAACTGCATCAAGGTGAAGCACATAAAGTTAACAGGAAAAAGATAATACATGTATGCACAATACACACACACATAAATTAATGATATATAATGCAGAAGCTTCTGAAATCGGCACATGTGAAAGTTCAATGAAGCTTTCAGAAATATTTGAAAGAATACAAGATCATAAGTTTGTTTTAACTAAGTGATAGCGCTCACCCTTCTAATCTCTGACTCTGAAACACATATCATGTGGGCTGGAAGCTCCTCCCTCTCTGAGTCCTTTAGGAATATGACAAAATGGCATCAGCAGTCCAACAAATAAACAGTCAATTAAGCAACAACGAGACATCAATACCATTTCTCCTATTAAGACAACATTCTCCCCACGAATGACATAGAGACCAAGAGGAATATCACAATACAGATCTCCTACAATTACTCGCTCACAAGCACCTTGAAGAACCACATTTGCTGTAAACAATAACGACTAACAGTAATAAAAATATTGTATCGTGAGAGCAAAAGCAACATGCTTTACAAAGAAAGGATAGATGAAATACCAAACTGGTCAAAAGAACAAAGAATACCCAGAAGCTTTCGCCCATCACGTAATAATACAAGAAGCTTTTCTGTGAAAAAAAGCAAACAGCAGTCAGAAACTTGTTTTAAACAAATAGCCAGAAGCCTGAGGCAGGTTAATCATTGTACTTAAAAATGACTTAGCAATATGGATTATACAAAAAGAAACAGAAGAAAAGACGCTATTGCATGACCTGTCTAATCCGAAAGATGTACGCAAAGAAAAATATTTGAACTGTCCAAGCAACAAATATCGCTCCCGAAGCAGCTAAGAGTGGAAAGACTGCTTATTTGTTTAATTACGAGAGAGCATAAAGTAGTTCATAATGACACTGAAGCCTTAAGGAAAGGAAGGTTATTTTTTCCCATGATTGCTTGCAATTGAATACAGGATAGAAATAGTCAACCTTACAGATTATACCAAAAAAAATAGTCCATCAATGTTTTTGTGCATGTCCTCTAAAACAGACATGCTTTGTATTTGATTGGCTTCTTTGCCTCACCCATAGTCCTACTGTTCCAGCATGATTGTTGGCAACAAGAAGTGGATGGAACATCAGTTAGTGACATAGGAACTTCAAATAACCAAGTATGCCATAGAAAATGTATCGAGATGCACTGTCTAGAAGCAAATGCAGTATCTCATGGATCATGGAAACAAGAGTTGCATTTGGACTACTGTTTAATTATCTGATTCTTTTAGAGCGTAAAACAAGATATGCTGAGAAAGAGAAAAATAATTAACTTAAAAAGGATAATTTGCTCCCATTGTGCTTGTCATCTGCAAAGGTCACATTGATATTGCTAATTATTGCTAACTCAATATATCATCTGAGATTATTGCAAATTCAATATATCATCTGAGATTGCATAACTTTAGCACCAATATCCAGAATCAAATTCACCCTAAATTTAATGCAAAGTGAGAGAAAATTCTTTGCAGATACATTTAATCTAAAAGAACCAGTACTCCATCAACCCTGTTCGTTAGAAAATATAATATATTCATAATACATTGAAACAAGTCCCATTGACCAAAATTTCACTACCAATATTGCCAAAGCCAAAGGAATACAAAATAATGTGCAGCGGTAACATTCCCAGGGCATTTGTTAGATCATATGAACCCATGTCCTTCTTAAAGATAACCACAATCAGATGATCAAAGAAAAATGTCTTACATAGGATATTTCTAACAGATCAAACGAAATAAAACATGAAAGAAAACAATGTAAATACAATAGGAGACAACAAAATTGGAACTTTCACCGTAAGCATCAGTGAACAAATAGACAAAGATGTAGAAAAAATTCAGAACGAAAAAGCCAAGATATTGTCACTAATCCATTACCAAAGATCTATTCAACTTGCAATGGAGAAATTGAAACGATAAGACTGGCTACAGAGGAAGAGAGCAAGAAAAAGAAGAAGGCAATGACAAGCTCACTATCAAGATAGCTTGCAAGGGAGGTGGAGAACAAGATATCTTCTGGTCCCGCCCACGACATTGCGCCCCAAACCTTTAGGCCTGTCAAACGACCACCCAAATGTCCCCTAAAACTTTCACAAATAGCGTCGGCAGCCCAAATTCAGGACCGCCACACCACCCCCAGCCTAACAGTCCGTGTCTTCCCCCGAATCTCCTTGAGAAGAACGCGATCTTTCGGAACCCTAGCGTCGTTCAACCCGAACCCACCGGCAGCCACCAGTTGCGTCCGAGTCCGAGATCCAATTCCCAGTCCCGAAAATCCGAATCCCTAGCCGGAAAAGCGACGCCGTTTTTCCTCCTCAGAGGTAAAGATCGAAAGAACTGAGAAAGAAAAATCAGGAAAGGATGGATAATTTCCTCTTTCCGGTGGCCTAATTTCTAGCGAGGATTAGGGTTTTTATCGCCTCCGATCGGTGGATCGGGCCCTGCATCTATTGACTGTATTGCGTGGGTTTCCCGTCGGGAGCGGAAATCGAGTCACCGATGGAATCAGACTATCAGTTGACTCTCTCACCAGTCGTGGAGGACCGCAGCGGATCGTCGGAGGGGCGGGATCAAATGTCACAGATCGAGCAGCGTGCGCGTATTTGAAGCCACGTTTACCTGACACTTCGATTGCAGACAAAGACGATGCGGTTCCGAGTCCACAAATAAGCACTAATTGTGCGCCCCCCTGGACTCCCGAGGACATCGGCAGGCTCTGTGGACCCCAAGAGTCGAGTGCAGTGTACGCGGCTCCAAACGACGCTCCTTTTGCTACGGGAATCCCGTGAAGCTCTATGGCGTCATCATGGTGTCATATATACGTTAAATGTATTAATCTATTTACAACGTGAATCTACTTTGTACAGGATTTCTTGCTCCCAGTTTTCCTATGGGAAACCGAATCAATCATCATAAGTATCACTCTCATACGATAAGTAACCTAAGACAGAAGCGTGACAAGAAGCTCAAGCTTGCTGAGCTTGATCAGTCGCAGCGTTCATGATTCAAGCTTAAATTGTGACGCTAAGTTCATAATAAATTCAATTGAACGTGAACCTAATCTGAATCGATTAGACTCGACTCAACTCTGAAATCAGAATTCGCATCAGAACACGCATCAGAAGATTAAACGCCTCCCGTTTGGAGCCTTCGCTATTCTTTTATCACTGTAAAAGGCCAGAGGTTACAATGATTGAAGCTTCTTGACTTAGCTAGCAGTAAGGATACAGGATCATAAAGATAGCCGCATGTACAAAGAACAAAGTAAAAGGAGGAGAAAAGATGAGGCTCTAAGGTGCTTAAGCTTACATTGCAGAGAACTTCTGGTTCTGCTCTGTGGCTCCTTTCCTTGCCGTTTCAGTTTGAGCTCATCTTTCTTGGTCTCGTTCCCCTATCATCCACTGGGAATTAAATGGGACTGCAACCAGAGGAGTCGGCATTGGAGATCAGAGAAAGATTGTGTCGGGATCTTACCGAGACTCTCTCGATAGATTGGTCTCTAGATCTCTAGAACAATAAGTTCTATAACTGGAGGCAAGCAGAATTTTCTTGTCAGTGTCACCTTGGGCATGCTATCAGAATGCACTAACGCATGAATGAAACATCTTACACTCAGAATCGGTCTTAACCCATTTATACTGATCTTTCCTTTTGTCCTCTTCCTGCATCTTCTCAGTGGGTTTATTCGCCAAGTACTTCTTTGCTGGAGCCAGAGCAGAGCTTCGAGGGTAAATCTTCTTGGTCAGAATTGCCCTCAAAACCTGTCATCCAATATAATGGGAAAAGAAGGTTAGACTTGCACAGGCATCGGAAGAAGATTCAAAGGTATTTTCCGTACCTTATCAATCCTCGGCTCAGGAATTGGATCCTTCAAGTTCCGAGGCGGCGCAAAGCCACTTCCACATACAAACATCTTCTTGAAAAGAAATGAGAGTGATTCTTTCTTAATCGCGGTGCGGTTGCTCAACAAAGCATCTCTCACTTTAGATAGTATGATCTTGGTACTGGGAGAGAGATCGCCAAGATTCTCCAGTTTCCTGTCAACTTCCAAGCTCGATGGGCGATTAAGGAACCAATTCAGTAGCAGATTAGCCCGATCTGCTTCAGCGATCTCTGGTGCACTGGTGCTAGAATTCGGCTTTCGAGTCAGTAGCTTGACTAGCTCTACCCGGAATCTGTTCACTTCTTCCATGGTGAAATCAGGCAGATCTTCTGAAGCTTGCAGGTTTTCCGAGGATTCAGGTCTTTGTGGGTCTTCTTTGATGTCTCTGTTGCCTAATGTCCCGATTGCCAACAACGCCTGCGGCCAGTCCCGGAATTCTTCTTTAGAAATAACAGGGATTGAAGTACCTAAATACAGAGTAAAAAACACCAGTTATAGCAGAGCTCCATGCACAGGCAATCAAAAATATTTCATATAAGAATTATGATACGGAGGCCGTAGTTTAAGTTACTAAGAGTGGACGACGAGGCATAAAGATCAAAACAACATGATATCCTATTGACTTCACCAAGCGATGAAGAAAATAATTCCGGATGACACTGAAAGCATCACTTACAAGAAGCAGAACTCAAAGCAGCAGCACATCGCTTATGCTCCTGTCTCCCACTGAACTTGGTTTGCACCCAGCTCAAGATCTGAAGCCAATACAAGCCAAAGGTTTAATCTAAAAATTAACAGCAATATGAAACTAGAAACTGCCATCTGAAGCTTTCAGACTTTCCACCAAGTGCGGGCAATCTTACCCTCATGGTTCCCACCAAAAAAATAAAGCGTGAGCGAGAGATTGTACTACAGATGGAGCGAAGAATCAGGAACAGCTTTCATGATCCTTAGCAAAAAGGACGAAGAAGGTATGCATAACGAAATCTTACACAGGTGGAGATATCGGACTGCATTGCTGAAGGTGTCTGCAGCATCCTCGTTCCTTTTGTACCGCTGGGATGCTCTCGAAGCAGGTATTATTTGAGAATAATAAAAAGGAACCATACACGTGACTGCTCGAACCTTCCTTCGGCCAATAGGAGCAGTGGAAAAAGTGCTAGGGAATCATACAGCCACATTCTATTGATCGAAGGGCACTAGTTACTGCGATTCAAGTCACTAGGCGGCTTTTGCAACTGTTCTGTAAGGAATCAGGGCCCTTATTCATCAAATAATCTAAGGAACACTAGCACTACTCAAGAGTTAATGTAGTTAACTACATGGCAGGCGTTATATTTCCTGTAGCACTCACTGATCTCTTTCATGCGGCAATTGCTTCTCTGGCACTACTATTCTCTTGGATTCCAGAGTTGGAAGCCCATTTAAATCTCATCTACTGTTAACCTTGTATTGATCTGATTAACACAACTCATGCACACGAATAATAACAGCAGTAAAATAACTAGTAATAGGACATAGCTTTTGCTAGTAGTTAAACAACCAAAACGACATAATAATAGATCTGTCCTCTCAAAGACAACTACTCTCCTGTCTCATGACTCTTGTGCCCTGGGAAAATACCTACGTGCATAATAGCAAGTGGCATTGCGCTATAAAAGGTAGAGACCAAGAACTTAATAATGGAGTGCCGAACAAGCCAAGTCGGGCAGCGCAAAAGGGCAGTGTAGAGGAGAAACATCCAAGTGTGCGTGGAGGAGAAACCCTACCGGCCAAATTTAATCTACCTTCATGGCTAGACCCCTATACTTCTCCCTCCTACACCATGCGCGTGATTCACAGCTCAGAGACAGCATCAACTTGATGAAGACCTGGTGATGCCTACCTGGCAGCATTTGCCGACCTCAAAGATGCCTGAGGAAAGGATACAAAGAAATGGATATGACAACAAACACTGGCTCGTGGCCGTAACAGGTCTCACCTCAATACAAAAGCAAGCAGTAGGATTCTCCTAGTGCTTGGGCCGCCTGAGAGATGCCATAGTAGAGGTGAATAATGGATATGAATTTACCATGGTTGGATCCAATTTCTTAGCATGCAAAACTGGATGTATAAAAGGAAAGCCCCAAACTTGTCTTATTAACATTTTGTCCAATGAAACACAATGTGACGTATTGATCAAAATTTGTAACGAAAAGAGTTACAACGTCCGGAACATATTTCTTGGAACCCAGAAAGAAAAGCAAAGATAATCGGAGCAAATATTATGAACAAAAAACCTTAAATAATAAGCCATGGTGCAGCAAAGTATACTTGTTACAATATAATCAACTAAACTGAAGACCAAATAAATTCTTATAGAAATTTCTTCTGCACCCATTGGCTAAGATTGGTTCTAGGTAACCGGGCCACACTGACAGTCCCAGTCCACACCAGATATCTTGCACTCCATTAGAAACCTATTAGAACATTGAAATAACTCAAATGACAATGAACAGTTTTACTCGCATCTAACGTAACTTTCCAATGGTTCTGCTTTGTTCCTGTCACTCTCATGGCTGTTCCTATCCTGATTGTGGATTGCATTGTTTGCTTTCTATTTTTTTATTAATAATAAATACCTTCTGTCTACTCTACTGGTCCAATATATTTAAAAACATGTTATCCACGACCGAGTTCATATTCATCTACAGGTTCATCACAGGCCAAACTAGAAAGAAATCTAGTCAGTGAGCACACCATCAAGGGTAAAGAGATGGATGCACCTCTTTTCCCCTGTTTTGATGATACTTTTGGACGATGGATAATAATCTTCCTCGCCGCTCCAAAACAAATCCAGATATGGAGGTTAACGTTAAGTGATTGAACAATTGGATCGACCACATCACAGACCAACCGAAATTACAGGTGAAAGTGAGAGACAATTAGATCACAAGCAGGTCCATATCCCAAAAGCTCATTGGGTCATGTACCTTTAATTTTCTGCACACCAGCTGGTACGAAGCCTCGCATCTCCTCTGGTGCGGTGTAACCAAGGTTCTTATTCTATTGGGTATCACGAGACATGGACCACATGCAGGCCCCCACTCGGCAGTGCAAGTGTCACGGCATAGTGGCGATTGCAGGATCTTGTGTCTGTCGGACACGACACGTGTGTCCAACGCAGTCGTAGGGAAATCATTATTAGCAACGCACTCGATATCTATATCGAGATCTCCAGGGATTTAATTACTACCTCTTCGATCTGTGAGAATAAGTCTTACATTCCCTATGTGTTCTCCATATCCCCTACCCTGCATCGCATCAAGATCAAGCCACCGGTAATTCATACTGTACATCCTAATACCAATGCCAATAATTACATTAAACTATGTCGTTCTCCATCTCTTCACGTTACGCCCGTAATCCTCGAAGCCATAAACTAACAGGCAATGCATTTAGTTTGCCATATGATGGATGGATGCTTGAAATAGCGGTAACAACGGTAAGACTTGTTTTGTCATGGTGACGAGGTTTTGGCCACGATAGATGCAAGCACACTTAAAATAACTCTAAGAAAACAGTGGTGCCGTACCTGCAAAAGATTTTCGACGAGGTTCCGAATCAATAAGGATGAACGACTGGGAGACGAAGCGTGGAAAGTTATCAATGATGTGATCCACACCTAAGAAGGCAGTCAATCGAAACATTGAGATAAAGATAAACAATACATATGGAAGTTGTAAACACCAAAGTAGTTGAAAGCAGTGTGCAATTCATCAGAGGTAACAGCGAGGATCAAAAGCATCATTAATGATATTCCTATATAAGAATTACATGCCAACAAAGTAGATATTGAATTTACGACGCAGAGTGTAACTCACTAATGATAACAATTCACGGAGTTATGTAAATATTGAAGGAAGTAATTGTACCTATGTCAGAGATTAACAGCTCTGCTATGTGGTCCACTAAGACTACCCACAGTGTTGATTCCTCCAGTATCCCTCGAGATGGATATAGAATGTAGAAGAGAGAACTTCACCGGTAAGGTTGGATGCCAGCTATCGAAGTCGCACGTTTCCATGGTAGTCGCAGATTTCTAGATTGACTGCAATAGCAACATGTGTGAATTCATTTGGTAGCCAAGCCCGTTACATGGGGTTGCAAATTTGCAGCAAACAGTGTCATAAAATTCACCAGCACTTTTGCAGTACACACTATACAATGCCAAGGTACTGTCAATTGTTTTCCCTTCCATTTGTTAAGTTTAGGCAAAAACCAAGGAACAGGATGGCAGATAAGCTATATATAGAGCGAAAATGGTAGCATTATGTCTATGTTTATGTAAGTCCTATGAATGGCTAGTGACATCAACAAAGCTGGCACATATACTTTCACTAACAAAAAAAAAATTGAATGATTTCTCAACTACCAAAGGTTTTGATACATAAAAGAGAGAAGTGTTTCTCAGAGGCAGAGCTGCTGGAATAATTAAGGGCAACAAGGTTACATGCCAGTTGGGTGATAACTTATGATCTCCTTGGTTAGAAGGTTTAGTTTAAATATCAGGCTCTCTCTTGTACAAACTTCATTAGAAAAAGCTCATCATGATTGTTTGTTTTCTACGTAGGTTCCATTGAAAGCTCATTCTAGGATTCTGGAGAACCTAAAAATACTGCAGCTACGAGCATATGCATGCACATAAGGCACAGGGTTGCAAATGGGAAACTGTATTGGTTTTTGGAATGATCCATCTAATCAATATTTTAATCTAAACATTTTGAATCTGAACTTGATCATTTTCATTTGGATGAACTTGGTCCGGATCAAAAATTTACTTAAAATGTTTTTTTCATCAATCTAGGCTTATATATTGTATCAGACTAGTACTGATTGTGACCCTACTATTAATAAAATATAATTATCATGGACTAGATCCACAAGAGGGTTGCAATATTTAACAACATTATCTAATATCAAAAACTCATATCTTATGAAATCACTTAAAATCCACTCCAAAATGCTAAGATTACATCGAAATATATCAGAACTTGAAAGTAAATAAAAGCAATATTGTCTGGTTTGGAAAAGGTTTGGGTCACATACTAATCATTTTTCATGTGATTTCATTCGCAATCTGCACCAACTATAACTCCTTATTTGATCCAAGTACGATTAAATGAATTAGTCTGGACGAAATTATTTGCTCCCAGGTTGGAATTGGAGCAGAATCAGGTCAACCTCTGCACCAAGAACAAACGCATTCTACAGTATTCGATGCAGTTCTTTATACTCGTCATTGGTTATCGAGTCTCCAACTTTTCTTCGTATAGAGAAGGATATTTTTCTGCTATTCCTAAATTACAGCCCAAGGCAGGGAGGAACCCCCAAAAGTAGAGACTATCCGGAGTGACGACATTGAGTACATCCATCTAATGTTAATAAACTAACTAATGGTGTCAAAAAGTTCAATTCTGATGAAGTGTCACAAAAATAGTATCAAGCATGAAGTCCTCTAGTCCTTTTTGAGGAAAGAAGCCCAATGGTCATAGAATCAGAAAACTACAAAACCCAGAAGGATGAATTAAAGTTTTCTAAAAAAAGTTTTTAAAAAAGCGTAAGAATCCAAAAACTTTTAACCTTTAAACATTGGAAGAGATGCAAGCCTACCATTTTATTGGACTTTTGTAAGTGATACAAGTAAATCAAAGACAAGAAAAGAAGTTTCAAAACCCATCATAAGCTCACAATAATGAATAATTGGTGATCTTCCACAGTGAAAACAAGCTTTTCGTATCTCAGATGCCACCAAATTGAGCAGTCAATGCAGTTGAGATCTAGCAGTTCCAGACACGCAGCAGTAGCAACAAAACCCACAACCGATGGAACCACATAAAAGAAGCAAACTCTTGACATGTAAGCCTGCTTAGACTTAGAGTGCAAATTTGTGACAAATTAGAAGTACATATTCTTATGATTGTCAATATCTAGCACATCTCACTATATTAAGTTACCTATTTAGATTGGATTTCCTATTCCAAACTTGTTCTTGGATTTAGTTACTGCTACAGAATGCCAATGGAAGTGTTTTTCTAAATAATAAAAACAGAAGTTTTCTAGCATATGCCTTCACGGATTAATTTCCAGATGTAATGGTTCTTAACATAAATATTGAAATCTCTTCTCGTTTCTACAATGTTCTTACCAGAAAATGCAATTTCAACACTTTCATGCCTCTTTCAGGACTCCTATAGTAGTTTATTGTTCACCTTGATGGACTATGTACTGTGTAGTACTAATATGCCAAGTATCTTCTTTATCAGTCTACGATAAAGAATGTAACAAAGTAACTATGTTCCTTGTCAAATGCTTTGATAATTTGGTTAGATGTTACTTTCAAACTATTGAAACTGACATGACATCTTTACTAATTTAGAATAGGTTCAAGAAGTATGAACATCTGCTTGGTTTGTTAAAGATGCATTATGCTTTGCTTGACGCACATGTTCATTATGCAAAATATCGAATCCTTTGAAAAATATATTTCCTTCTCTATGAAAAGATGACTTTCGTCTTTTCATCTAAATGGTGGTTAAAAGGAAACAAGAAGTAATGAGTTGGAAGACATGCTATCATAAGACAAGCAGCATCTACAAAATCAATCAGCCAAGTATCAAAATCTTATGTCAACCTGTAAATCACCAATCGGATCAGAACTGTTCTGATTGGTGAAGTGAATTTGATGGCACCACATGTGTATCACGTTGCAGTGAAGCTAGTGCCCGCGCGAGAACAATCGTCACTAAAAATCCGAAAAGAACTCCGCAATCAGATTTGTTTTTCGTAATAACCTAACCCATAAACGAAACGGCTCGATCCATCCAGTGATAGCTCCTTTATAAGATTCTAACAAATGAACTAATTGGTCAACCAGATTATATTCATAGGTAAGTTTCTGAGAGAATCGTACTTTTTCATGAAAAACACCTTTGAATCAGAAGAAAAATAGTGGGAAATCCTTCAAGCATAACTCCAGATTCAACATAAACATCAATAAGTTGAATAAAAATTACGACGTACTGTGAATTATCAGAAGAAAGAAGCAACGAAACCCTAATTCGCTTACCAGACGCGGAGAATTTGGGGAAGAGGGATTCGAATCCAAAGCTTGTTTCGCCAGTGAACGACGAGCGGGAAAGCTTTATATAGACGTTGTGTTGCCTCCTAAATGACTTATCTACCCCTACAAGATAAAACCATTGACGATCAAATCCGTCCACTGAAGGATGATCAGGAGCCGTCTATTCAAAATCTGTGCACGGCAAAATGGTCGGCGATGCGGAGAAGAAAAGAATACGTTAACTGCAATCTTACTGCGGCACATGTTATATCTTTTTCGCGAATTCTATGCCACGTAAACCCACTGCTTTTCCACGTGGTCGCTTACGAAGGCCCTCCGAAGGTGCTACCCATTCGTCCAAGCAACGGCATCAAACATTTCATGAAAAACGATCTTGACCGTTCGTTCTTCCGGATGCATGCGATCAGAGACGTCAGTCCAACAGCCGGCTTGACGGCGGGAACAAACTAGTTTTGATCCATGTTTCCGACCATGTTCTCGTACAAGTCTCTGTGGGTCCATTTGTGGTTTTCCCCTGCTTCGGTTTATGGCGTAGGAGTCTTCGATTTGGAGATCAACCAACTCTTGGTGGCCAAATCTACCGAGAGGTCAGTCCATGGATCCTTGTTTTGCTTATATGAATATTCATGCTAGGTTATGTCTCGCAACGAAGAGTTCACTCAACCTGATTCATGTATAGGTAAATGGGTAAAGATTGCAATTTTGATCCTCAGGCCGAGGAAAAATCTGTTCCTCAGAACAAAATCTGAACAAAGAATTAGTATTTTCGTACAAAAACCCTTTGGTTTGTCGTCTTGGGGGAGATTTAGTGTTAAAAGGAGCTCCAAGTGGTCATTGATTTAGCTTACCTACCGGATGAGTCCCTCTTGTTGAATCAAAACCTAGTCTTGTTTAATCCTATGTAAGAAACTGATGGAATATTTCGTTGTGGTAGTTGTTAATGGCCTATTTCTGAACTACGCATAAATATCTTAGTGCATTACAAGGAATACTTGTAAGTGGCGCAGGAGGAGGGAGTTTACGAATGGCATATGACCGCGTCTCCAACTTTGAAGGAGTGTATAAAAGTCTTCACCTTCCAGCAGTCATTATCGGAGGAACTTTTGTGCTGATTGCATTAGCGCTGTCAACAATACTCATTCTGCAACACCTACGAGCATACACTAATCCTGCAGTGAGTTCTACATCTGTTTTCGACAGTATATAGCTACACTGGTGATGACTGCGGTTAACACCACTACACTTCTCTTTTACCTAGATAATGTAAATATGTGAAATATAGCATCATCAATTTCTAATATAGATCATAATATCAGTGTTTAGACTAGCAAAATTGCATTTGCATCGACATCATATCCTGAAAAGATTTAAATCTCTTAGAGCATAAAGAAGACATTCCATGTGGGTAATAGAGATGGCTAGGAAAGCGTTAAAACAACAACAACAACATCAATAATAATAACAACAAACCGTAATGTCCCAACTATTTGGGGTTGACGGCATATTTTGAAGTTAGGAGTGTTTTAAACGTTGAACATAAATTGATAGTTTTCCATTTGATGTTTCTAGGAACAGAAGTGGATCATTGGTGTCTTATTCATGGTTCCAGTATATGCCACTGAGTCTGTAAGTATTGCTTCTTATATCTTCCTGAACTCCTACCTTATCTAATCATGTATAAACATGCACATACATCTATTTTCATGATATTGTGTGATGACGTGGACACACCACTGTCTTGAGCTTAGTACTAACTTAAAATTCCAAGTTATAGAACAGAGTATAAACCACTGCTTTCTATTTTTGAATTCCCCTTTCTTGTTGTCTTCTTACCACTTACTTGTAAACCAAAATGCATTGTTAGGATTATAGACAACCTATGCCAGAAACTCTTCAAAGCACTTGGGCGGTCAGAAGTAAGAGATACCTGCAGTCCAAAGAGAATTGTATTAAATCTCTGTTTCTTACTTTCTTGTGCAAGATAAGTTACTGCAATAAGTTTTCACTTTTAGTAACTTTGTTGGTTGCTGCTATACATTGGGGGAATGGGCATTAGTCTTGCAAGAATGGGCATCGGTCTGTTTTGTTTGTGTCCTCTTTATCCATGGTATGGATGAAATATGCTGCTGGAGATGGTAAATTATCAAATTGAACAGTATGCCCTAGATCAGCACAAAGATAATGTCACAAGTAGTGAGCTTTAGATAACCTATAAAATGAAAATAACGGTTAGTGATGATTAGTCATAGACTCCTTATGGTATCTGTGATGTAAACATATGTTTGATCTTTCAAATGAGAGGCTCTGCAATTATAACAACACAAAACAAAAACTTTCTTGAGACACATTGTTGCATTTCTTACTTGATAATTATCTTTATATTGAACATGTAGGTCATGACCAATTGGCTTGTCCTTAATCATGTAGGCCATCAAAATCGGGTTAGTCTTACAATTTATAACCCTCGTTTCTGTAATGAACTTAAAAAATTTTTGTAGTGAATATATTTTGGACAATGTAAATCATCGCAAACTGATTTGTCATCAACCTTGATGTTTAAGCCAGTACACTGATTTACTGGCTTATGGTACTTCTTTAATTCTTTTTAAAGTTGAAGATATTATACTTACAAGTGTATTGTCCATTTGCAGGCTTTTGAACTCTTTGTTTCTTCTGTTGTACTTGGCTTTCTTATGTCAATGATCTGCAGTGTTTTTGCTTGTCAGATAATATCACTATGGAACTCGAAATTTTCTATGGTTTGTGACATCTTAAGGAATTGCTATGAAGCATTTGCCTTGTATTCTTTCTGGTGCTACTTGGTTGCCTGTCTTGGTAAGATTTTCCATTTATTTTCCTGTCAATTGGATTTTTTTACTGTACATGTTTATGCCAAAAAAAGGGTGGTCACTGGCACGAACTAATTGATACTTTGTCCTGAAAAGATATATTTCTTTTGTATGATATCGGTAATCGTGATAATCATTATCTGATACACACGTGATATTCATTAATTATTGTAAATTTATATGAGTGAATAGTGGACTATCCCCGAGGCCAAGTAATTCTAATTGGTCTGCATGATTGTTGTTTCATTCTAGACCAATCTATAGTTGTACATCTTGAGATACCATTTTAATTGCAGGTAGGCACAACACACTAGTTAAAAACTAGGAGATGTCAATGAGAAATTGCTCATTAACCATAGTGTATCTATTTTAGGAGGTGAAGATAGGGTTGTGGAACTACTTGAGAATGCAGCTAGAGAAGATATCAGTGAGCAATTGCTCATGGAAGAAGATGATGAAGCTCAACATCAGCATTCGCTAAATGATTTTGTATTCCACCCAACTGTGCTCGGCAAAGATTTATACACAATTATAAAATTTGGTATTGTACAATATGTAAGTGCATATGCTTGCATGTTCTCTATGCTTATCATGAAACAGCTGCTAAATTCAAAAGTATCCGCAGATGATACTGAAAACATTATGTGCCTTCTTGGCATTGTTACTGGAACTTTTTGGAGTTTATCGAGAAGGGGAATTCAAGTGGTACTATGGGTATGGCTTATATAGAGGAACCTCATTTGGATATTTTCTGTACCCTAACCTCACAACTTCTTGACAACTTGGCTGTTTTTTTTTTGGGTTACTTGATAATTTTCTGTTTGATAGCAAACAATTGCTTACAGGTACCCATATGTTACGATCATCATAAATTTCAGTCAAATGTGGGCTTTGTATTGCCTCGTGCAGTTCTACAATGTCACTCATAGCAGGTTACAAGCTATCAAGCCATTATCAAAGTTCATAAGCTTTAAAGCCATTGTCTTTGCAACTTGGTGGCAGGGTGTTGGTATTGCATTAGTCTGTTATGTTGGTATTCTACCAAAATGGGGGAAAATTCAAAATGGTATTCAAGATTTTCTTATCTGCATTGAAGTGAGTCCTGAACTTAGAACATAGTGTTCTCACATTCTCAAATGATATAATATCCTTTTTATGTATCTGGCATTTTGATGTTTTCTTGTGCATTAACTTTAAAGAAGGTTGTGGATCCTTTTTACAGATGGCTATTGCAGCAATTGCCCATGTATATGTTTTCTCGGCAGAACATTATAAATATCTGCCAGTTTCTGGTTGTGGGAAAATAACATCTGTAGAATCTAAAACCAAATCTAAATTAGTTGAAAATGCCAAGAGCGGGCCAGCCACTGTGGAGCAGAAGGAAACACGTGTTGAAGCTCCTGGAACAAGAATCACGGAGAGTGTTCAAGATGTTGTTCTAGGAGGTGGCGAACATGTGAGTCCTCTCATCTTATAATACAGTAAATTGAGATGACATAAAGTAGATACATTTACCTGTAGTTAACTTTAGCATTAGTACATGAAATCTATGACAATTGCTTTGTAAAATTTATGTCTCTCTTGGTTCTTTAACCTTTTGCTTGTATTTCAGCATCCAAAATGCTTACTGCTACCCTATAATTTTTGTGCAGGTGGTAAAGGATGTGGCATTAACCATATCTCAAGCAATTGAACCCGTCGAGAAAAGTGTCACCAAATTCCAGGACACCATTCGTCACATCTCTGTTGGCTCTGATAAAGGAAAAAAACCTGAAGTTGAAGTAGACGAACGTGTTACAGAGAACTTTGTGGACCTGAAATTGGAATTCAGCTCCGAACTGAAAGTTGAGTCTGAAAATACAGAGAATCTTGGTCACCACAAATCTGTAGTCAATTCTGAAGTGAAGTATGAAGCTGAAAGTTGCCCAAGATGACAGTACTTTGTGCCTCAAGATGTCAAATGCACAATATCTTTGTTGTCAAAGTTACAGTTGGTTTAGACTTTGGTATACACTAGCTTCATATTGAAAGTTTGTAATGGTTGTCCATAGTTTCTTGTTCCATAGTTGCTTCTATCTCTGAGAAAAGGGTCTGTCCTGTGGAGTTATTAGTGATCAGGTGTATGTTTTAGCAATGGCAGCATTTGATAGAAGATTTATTTTGCTTTGTAACATCTTATCATGTAAAAATATCTGGCAATGGTATTCAATAGTGGCCAAGGAACTCATTATTCCTGCACAGATCA